TACCATCCTAGAAAATGAAGTTAAAGGAGTAACTGGAAACTCAAGACTGACATGATGTACATGGTCTTCACAGGTATCTGTAAACTTTTGCTTACAACTGTAGTTTTGGCAAACACACCTGATCTTCTACTCTCTTTGTCACTGGCTATGAGCTGGCATGTGACAAGTGTTACAGTGAAAGCTGTGGGGAACTTTGGCCTTCTTTCTTCAACAGGTGGGAGGTGATGAAGAACATTAAAGTGCAGGCAAGGGCTCATAAAGCAATACAAAGGCTACTAAAGTACTAAATATAAATTTTAGTGCTTTGAGTTTTAAATGACATTGCTGATTAGTCCAAGATATTGCTGCACTGACTGTAAAAACTGCCACTCCTAGATCTGTTTAACCATTTACTGTCAGTAGATTGGCGGTCATACATTCTGTAGAGGGACAATGACATGGAAAGTCCCACCTTGCAAGTTGGCAGGAGTTGTCCTTGAAGCTTGTTGCATAAGAAACCTGGAAGTCTGAATCTGTGTTTTTGAGGCTGTCATCTGTACACTGCAATTTCAAGGGAAAAATGCTCAGCCATAGTATTGACTGCTTGTTTTACTCATGATGTGTCTTTCTGTATATATATATATATATATTAGAGATGCGCCGATCCGATACTGGGTATCGGTATCGGGCCGATACTGGACGAAATTACGGTATCGGATTATTTCCTTCACAGTGGTAACTGGCCGATCCAATACCGCCACACACACACAATCCTGCCTTCCGACACATCCACGTATTCGTCTGCTCATTGGCTACAAGTTTACAGCTTCAGAGAGTGTCTGCAACCCGACTGGTCGAATCTACAAGGGTGGAACTTGTGCGGACCGGGTTGACTGTCTGAGACACTCCATTGGCCCTTCAGGCTGTCACTCACCCACAAAGCCCTCCTATTGGCCAAACTAGGTGTCATCAAAAGCTGAGCCGTCCGTCGATCCACCTGTAGCGCTTTCAGCGCGATCTGAAATAGATTCAG